GGGATGGGGGGATGGGTGGAGGTGGAAGAGGTCATAGAGGTGATAAATGGTGAAGGAAAAGAAAAGAGAAAAAAGAAAAAGAAAAAAAGGAAAAGAAAAAAGTGTCCCTGAGAGGCAGGCTGTAGACCTCAGCCAGCCTGCGGTTACTGGTTCACATGGGACCTGGGGCTCTGTGTTCACTGTGGGGTCAGGGGGAGGAGCACAAGGGAAGTGAGGAGGAGGGATCAGCCTGGGAATCCCAAGCCCCTGTAGAACAACACACACTTTCCTCCCACCAGGACCAGTTTCTTGCTTTGGGGGTGGGAGTGGGGGGTGGCATGAAAACCTAACAGTGGAATTACCAGAAAGAGATGTGTCCTTTCTGGGGAGAGGTCAATGGGGGGAAAAGGGGGCATGTGGAATACTTGAAACAATAAACAATGTAAATTTTAAAACAAAACAAAACTAAGAAAAGAAAAAGGTGTCCTTTCGATTTCGGTTCCCCACATCCGCACCACAATATCCTGCTCGATGTTCCCCTTCTAAAACAGTCAGTATCCGGACCAGAGGAGCCAGTCAGTACCGGAGGGAAGCTGAGAACTGGTGTGTAGCTGCAGGCGGCAGCCACAACCGGTGAGTTCGCGGTGATTTGTCTTCCAGCCACTTGTTCTTTAACAGCAACAAATGCGGAAGCCAAGGCGGGGCACTGGCAGGGGAAAGGCAGATGGCACGGGGCCAGGTGGCGTAGGGCCCGCGGGGGTTTTGCTGTGGGCAGCTCAACGACTCCATTTGGATCTGAACGGCTGCCAGGCAGGAGAAGGCAGGCGCTCACAGTGTGTCCTGGGTGCGCGCTCCCCTGGCACCCACCCAGGGCTGCAGGGAGGTCCCTACAGGGGAGGGGGAGCACATCCTGCCTCAACTGCAGAAAGGGGCTGAAGTCCTCCTGGGACCAAATCCTGACCCCCTCACGGAGCCAAAGCTACTGATACCTAAGAACTGAATCAGAATAACCTGTGATGATTGCTTAGAAGACAGGGTTAGGGTATTTTTAACCATCCTTTCAGATCTCTCCTGAGCAGGAAACTTTGGAAACCTGGGATCACCTGACTCCATCTAATAGAACTATTTCATTCAAATTCTTTATTTGGAGTTAAAAGCTTCTGGGTTTGGGTATCTCAATATACTGGCATTTAAAAGTAATTTTTTTGTGAACACAGCTATTCCTATTCAAAGATATTAAATATTCAGTCCAAGAAATAAACTCTGCAATTCCTCCTGCTTATAACAAGGCAATAAAAGGCTCATGATTTACCATGTAAATGCTCCCAATCACTTATTGAAAAGCAGAGAAATGGTACAGAGGAAGACTGTTAAACAAATACATGTTATATAGATACATTTTTATATCTTGGCAATTTGCAGCTTACTGAACGTTATTAACACATTTCAAAACATTGCCTAACTTGCTCATTGTTAAACACAACATTAATCCTGGAAAAGTCTGTTAATTACGGAGACCCTGTGTGTTACCACTCTGTACAGGGAAGACTCAGGCAGGAATACTTGCTCTAACACACTGATAAGAAAATGGAGGCTCACAGATGTAAGTTTCTTTTTCAAGGTCTCACTAACAGGAAGTGATTTGAACCCTGGTAGCCACTGCAGAATTTGCTCAGACATCCCAGGACTGCTCTGGGTTCCTCCCACAGGACTCACCCCCCTCAGTGTCCTCCCTTCCAGCTGTTACTGCTGCTCCTGTCCTGCCGGAGTCCTCCTCATGGCCCAGTGTCCTCCCTCCCAGCTGTTACTGCTGCTCCTGTTTTTCCTGAGTCCTACTCATTGGATGTGTCCTCCATGCGCTCACAACTGGATAAAGAGATGTCACTGTTCACCTTCTTTTAGAACTTAACCTCTTTGCCTCTTAGACACTCAATTTTTAATCAATACTTATAGAGGATTCAGTATACAACACATGATTTTAAGAGCATTATAAATTTTATCATATATTTCATCTTCCTAATGATTTTAATGACCAATAGATTGTTATTTTTAAATAATTTTAATATGTTTTTATTGATTTGTAGAGTGGAAGGGAGAGGGATAGAGAGAAACATTGATAAGTGAGAAACACTGATCAGCCCCTGCACACCCTCTTCTGGGGATCCAGCCTGCAACCCAGCCATGTGCCCTGACTGGGAATCAAACCCATGAACTCTTGGTTCATGAGTCAGTGTTCAACCACTGGCCAGGCTAAATTGTTACTTTAATTTATTTTTTTTTAATTTAAATTCTTTATTGTTTAAAGTATTACATATGTCTCCTTTGCCACCCATTGACCTCTCCCCAGCTGCTCCCACCCACCAGCACATGCCCTCACCCTTCTACTGTCTGTGTTCATTGGTTATGCTTATATACATGCCTACAAGTCCTTTGGTTGGTCTCTTACCTGCCCACCCCCCATCCCTGCCTTCCCTGACGTTTGACAGTCTGTTTGATGCTTCTTTGTCTCTGGAACTACTTTTGTTCTCCAGTTTATATTGTTTATTATATTCCACAAATGAGTGAGGTCATGTGATATTTATTTTTCTCTGACTGGCTTATTTTGCTTAACATAATGCTCTCTAGTTCCATCCATTCTATTGCGAATGGTAAGAGTTCTTTTTCACAGCAGAGGAGTACTTTTTCACAGCAGCAGATGTACTACCGTTTTTTAATCCACTCATCTGCTGATGGGCACTTAGGCTGTTTCCCAATCTTAGCTATTGTAAATTGTGCTGCTATTAACATAGGGGTGGATATGTCCTTTTTTATTGGTGCTTCTGTTTTTTGGGGATATATTTCTAGAAGTGGGATTACTGGGTCAAATGGCAGTTCCATTTTTAACTTTTTGAGGAAACTCCATACTGTCTTCAACAATGGCTGCACCAGTCTGCATTCCCATCAGCAGTGCAGAGGGTTCCTTTTTCTCCACATCCTTGCCAGCACTTGTTTGTTGATTTGTTGATGATAGCCATTCTGACAGGTGTGAGATGGTACCTCATTGTTGTTTTGATTTGCATCTCTCGGATGATTAGTGACTTTGAGCATGTTTTCATATGTCTCTTGGCTTTCTGAATGATGACTTTCTGTATGTCCTCTTTCGAAAAGTGTCTATGTAGGTCCTTTGCCCATTTTGATTGGATTGTTTATCTTCCTTTTGTTAAGTTGTATGAGTGAGATGGTTATTTTTAGTGTTGCCATTTTATGGAAGAACAAACTGAGATACAGAAATTACTCTTTCCAATGCACACAGCTAGGAGAGCATGGGGGCACATGAATGTTGTGTAGGATTGTCTTTGAGAAAGTGAAGGGACAGTCAAAGCACTTTGACTGCTTCCTGTCCCTTAATTGCATGAAACCCGCACTGTGATGGAAACAGTAGAGTACTAGTAGATCCTCTCCCAGCTGTGGGACTCTGGCAGCAATGGCCCAGCATAAAATGCCCTGACTACAGCCTCTCTTCCCTTTCAGACCACAAACAAAAAATATCCTTTTACTCTAGTTTAAATAGATGAATTCCTACATTCACCACTGTACCTGGATCCTGTAAAGATCTGTATCATGGTGTTTTGAGAGTGAGCCTTATTCTTTGTCTTCTTCTTCCTCTCAAAGTCTCCCCTCCTCCAACTGCTACAGCTCCCAGGATTCACAAGATTTGTCCTCCTGAAGGTCGCAGAGCACATTTATTTCTCTTTTTCTGAGAGGCCTTTCCTGACCATCCTCTATTTCAGGGATGGCGAACCTTTTGAGCTCGGCGTGTCAGCATTTTGAAAAACCCTAACTTAACTCTGATGCTGTGTGACATATAGAAATTTTTTGATATTTGCAACCATAGTAAAACAAAGATTTATATTTTTGATATTTATTTTATGTATTTAAATGCCATTTAACAAAGCAAAATCAACCAAAAAAATGAGTTTGCGTGTCAGAGGTTCGCCATCACTGCTCTATTTAAATTCAGCCCCCATGCTCCCTATCTCAGTTCCTGCTTTTTTTCTCCTGAGCACTTTCCATCATCTAATATACATATACTCTGCATGCTGCTTATTTGCTTTCTGCATTGTCTGTCTCCTCCCACCGGAACAGAGTTCCATGAGGCAAGAATTGGTATCCATTTTGTTCCCTACTTGATACTGAGCACTTACAAGAGTGTCTGGCACATGGTAGGTGCTCAGAAAACATATGCAGTTAACGAGAAACCAAATCACTCAGGAACTCCACGTATCTTCTCTGGTCATTCTCTGTCTCTTGCATGTCCCATCTTGCCTCTACTTACCCCCAATATGTTAATGTTCTCACAGCTCCATCATCAGTGTTTTGTTTTGCTCCTTCTATTTTTTTATGCATCACATGCACAAGATTGTATTAGGGTTTAATTAAAGATCAATATGATAATGTACATAAGGAATCTGTGCCAGGCCTTGACACACTAGGCTAAATACAAAATGTAGGAGTCTGTTCTACACACAGAAAGCTGACATACATGTGACTTGTATAACCATTAGATATGACTTTGGGACCTTGTGTTGTACTGAATTGTTCCTTTGGGTTACAGCTCACCATGGCCTCTGGATACACCATGATGGACCCCATCTGTCTGGTGGAAAATCAGAATAATCAGCTGACAGTAAATCCAACAGCACTGGAGATTCTAGACAAGATCTCTCAGCCTGTGGTGGTGGTGGCCATCGCAGGTCTGTATCGGACAGGAAAATCCTACCTGATGAACCGCCTGGCAGGACAGAACCATGGTGAGTGTTGTTCTGGGGCAGCGGCCATTTGTTTGGAGACAGGGATAACACAGACTGATCACACCTCCTTCAGGGTCATCTTTAAAAAAGAGACTAACTTCTTTCACTGAAGAAAAGTTTTAACTGTCACCACCAAATAGATATCTTAAACCCCATTGTTTCACAAAACCTCACTCTTTGAGCCAGTAACAAGGGGTTCCCCACTCTATCCAAAGATCTCCCCATTGTTCTTAATCCCATCCATTCTTTCTGCTGAGGAGCTCAGCTCCAGCAATTATTCCCTTCCTTTCTCTCCCATCTCACTTCTGTCCTAAACTTCAGGGGCTTTTCAACTAGGACACAAATATTACTCAACATGTCCTGTTTTCAAAAAGGGATGGAAGGAACAACAGACAACAGAATATTCTATATATCCCATAGCTCAATGGGACTACCATCCAATTTTTTGCTTCATTTCTGAGTAAAACTTTACTAAATTGTACCCTCTTTTCTTTAGCTAGTCTTATCAATATGCGAACTGTACCACAGAAGATTGCACAACACATACATATATAAAAAATTAAAAAATATAAGCCCTAGATAGATCCTCTGACACCTCACTGGAGCTCACCAAAGTTTTGATTTTCATGGTGCATGCTTTCACTCTTCCTTTGTAAAAGTGGTTTTACAAGCTTGTATGCATTTGTAAGAATAGCTTAAATATTATATAAAGGGAAGTCCATTCAGGAATTCTTTGGAGTCTTGCTTCTTTTGCTCAACAAAAAGTTTTAAGTTTTCCTAGATTGTCCTCTGTATCTGTATTCATTTATTTTCACTAATTTATAGTATGCTATTGTAAGAATATACCATAATATATTTATATGTTTGTTGTTGATGAACATTGGTTTATTTCTAGTTTTTTTCTGATACAGACCTGCTGACATGAATCTTCTTGCTGGTACATCCTGGTGAACATGTACACAAACTTCCTTGTGTGACAAACCCAGAAATAAAATTTCTGGGTCATGGAGTATATATGTAGACAGCCTTTCTAGATATTTTCAAACAGCTTTTCAAACTTTATATGTAATATATGTTTATTAGCAGTAATTGAGAATTCTCCACATTCTCATAAAACTTTGGTAAAAGACTTAAAATTTGATGATGTGATGACTGTATAGGTGCATGTTATTTGCATCATTGCAAATAAGTTTGAGCATCTTTTCACATTTTAATTTTCCATTTGCAATTCCTATTTCTTGAGGTCATTTTTCTTTTTTATTGGGTTGCCTTTTGTTGTTCTTACTGATTTCTAGAGCAATCTGCCTATGTCCTGCAACTCATTTCTCTCTATGAAGACCACACACCATTTTTATTTTCAAAAGTCTTCCTCTGTGTCTCATCAGCTCAGCACCATTATGGGCAAACCTCAAAACACTGAACTGCAATGATTAATAGCACTATCTCTCATTGTCCTCTCACTGTGTCTCTTTCTTTATGTTTCACTTCTTCTCTCCTTTCCTTCCTTTCTCCCTTTCTCCTTTTTGCTTCACAAACTTCCCAACTTGCTTCCAACAAAAAATTTTGTCTTAGTCTTTTTTGTAGAGAAATTCTAGACCACCTATCCTGGGAGAACACTTTTTGTTGCCAGTCTTAAATTAATTGATAGGCCATTATGAGGATTAAAGGTTTGGGAACCCTAAGGGAAAGATACCAATTAAGGAGGTTCAACACCATCCTTTTAATTCTGCTCAAGATAACTTCATGTAATGATGAGGTGCTGTTTCATTGCTGAAGAAGTCTCAAACCTCAAAATATTTTAACACATGTAGGTATAGTCAATAATATTGTAATAACTGTATATAGTGCTAGGTGGGTCCTAGAAATATCAGTGGGAACACTTTGCAAAGTATATGAGTGTCTAACCATTATGCTGTACAACTGAAAGTAACAATATAATGTTGAAAGTAAGCTGTAAATGGAAAAACAATACCATCTGAATTGTGACTCCACCACCAAACTCATACAACAGAAAGAAACAAAAAAGAAGAATTTGTGCCCAGTCAAGATCCAGGAGCCAGACCAGGTCACTACTTTCACCTTGTTGATAACTTCCTTTGTGGGTTTTTACCTCTCATAACTGAGAGTGATGATCTCTAGTTACACATACCTTTTCTCATTAAGGTATCTGGGAGTTCAGATTACTCTGTATTAATAAGCAAACAATCAAATACTATTACAATGAAGAAGAATGCAGGCCATCTCAGGCTTTATATCCTCTCTGTGGAGAACTCACTGGATGTGGAAATAGAATGGCCTGCACCAAGCTGAACGCACCTTCCCTACACATTCCATCATGTCCATTTCTAGTTCCCATTAAAGGAAACATTGGCCTATGTTGGATGTTAAAAATCTTGAAATGTTGGGCAAGGTACATCACACGTAGGTTCTTGGGCATATCGATCACATGCTGTCCACCTGTTGGTTTAAGCCTTGTGAAAGAGGAGCATGCAGGTTTCACAGGTCTTCTGCTTTCACTTCCATTATATCTCAACCTACGGCAGTGAAAAGAAAAAGAAAAAAAATCCTCCTCAATTTCTTGAAGAAGATAAAAGAAAAATACAGGAATGAAAGGGAAGAAAAATCCAACATAGCTGATTATCAGTCCAGTTCCTGGCAGGACACACAAGAACCTCTCAGAGGGTAACTAACGAGTATTAATAGAGGACACATACAAGGGCATAAGCAGGTCACAGAGAACTAACTGGAGATGAGGAAGCACCCAGAGGGTGGCAACAGTAATGGCCAGGGAACTATAGTCACTCCTATAGCCTGAAAAGACAAGCAGAAAGTGAAACCAGAATGTGGCAAAGACCAGCAGTTTTATATGAAGCTAAATGAAAGGGCTGTGACCCACTGTAGAGGAACAGAGGCACTGGGACACTGTGGCTCACCAAGGATAAGCGAGGGGAACACATGCCTGACCTCTAGTCTCATGCTGACGCCTCCCACTGGTAAAACTCCATCAGAAACTGAAGGACAAAGGGCCTCTTCAGTGTCAGAAAAAAATATAAAGATCAATAGAGGTTATAGTAATTCTGAATGTGACATAGCTTGAGCCATTGATAGTATGATGTGAATAGGAAACAGAAAGTGTTTCTTGAGAAGGTCCTTAACATGTATAAAGGTTGGATAGGCTGTCCTTGCTGAAACCAAAGCAACTTTCCTCCCAGCCAGGCACTCACATTCCAATAGTTTTAACCAATGAACCTATGGGGAGCCTGGACTATCTGCTGTTACTCTATAATGCTTTCTCCTCTAGCTTTGCAGGATTCTGTCCGGGCTCCACAGTGTGGTCTGAAACCATGGGCATCTGGATGTGGTGTGTACCCCACCCCTTGAAGCCCAACCACGCTCTGGTCCTTCTGGATATTGAGGGCCTGGGTGATGTGGAAAAGGTAAGGCAAAGAGTCTTCTTTGTTCTTGATACTCCACTTATATTTTAATTTGCAAACTTTATTCAACTTCTATGACCTATTTCTATAAACTATAAATCCACTTAAGAATAATGAGGTGTTAAATTTTGTTTCCTTGAATTTACTTTCTTGGAAACTCAATAGTTTCCTGATTAGATATAAATATCTTCTTATTTTTACACTTGGATGAAAGTTACAAGATAAATACTTATTTGGCATCTAAATTCTAGGCTCTTGTGTTAAGTACTACAAGTATGCATGATTGAGGAAAAGGCTCAGAGCTGAGGTGGGAGATAAGACATATGCAGTGTTATCTGTACAGGGCTCCATGGATACAAGGAGTGACATATTACACTGGTCTTCAGGTTAAGAAAAACATCCTGGAGGAAGCTATAATTATGGGATCAATGCATCTGGTAATTAAGGTGTCTGAGGTTGATAGTCTTGAAGGTAGGAAATGTGAAAATGTGGTTTCATTAAAATAACATATTTACATAATCTCCAAAAACACTTCAACTATAGCATACATATTAATTAAGGTTTTAGTCCAAGTCTCTGCGCTTTAGAGGTGAATTCCTCCCTGACTTTCTATAAATTCATGAGCTAGACCCATCAAAAGCATTTTAATGAAATAATTTTGGGTATTTTGTCTTTACTGTGTTAGTTGCAGTCAATCATGTGTCATTTGTATTAGCCATAGTCTAATTTGAAAGCAGAGCAGTGGATCTTTGGCTTCCCTTACCCCAAAAGGAGTAGGGGCAGGAATTTAGATATTCTGAATTTTAATATTAATTTTTTAATTGAATTTATTGGAGTGACACTGGTTAACAAATGTATACAGGTTCCAGGTGCACAATTCTACAGCACAGTATCTGTACATTATATTGTGTGTTTACCGCCCAAAGTCAAGTCTCTGTCCATACAATTTATCCCCCCTAAATCCTCCTCCAACTTCTCCCATGCCACTTCCCCAGCAGTCACCACACTGTTGCCCTGTCATGAATTCTTTCTCTTGTTCCTTCTTTGCTCAATACCTCCACTTCTGCCACCCAACCCCTCACCCTCCTCCAAGAGTTGTCAGCCTGCTCTCTATCTATGAGTCTGCCTCTATGTTGCTTGTTGGTTCATTATGTTCATTAGATTTCACATGAGTGAAATCATATGAAACTTGTCTTTCTCTGAATGGCTTATTTCACTTAGCATAATTCAAGTGTAAAGTACTCAGTAATGACCTCAGTATAAGCCCAAGATGGTCTACAGATTGCTAACAGATTGTAGTTAACACAAACCTTCTTCTTTTTAACTAATTACATTTGTAAAGGAGCCAAAACATAACTGTCAACTGATAGCAGGAGAAGTACTTGCTGTCCTTACAACTCTAGGGTTTTTAGTAGTATCCAATTCTATTGCATAGTCACTCATGATTTATCCTGAATGTTATATTCAGCTGCATCATCTATTCCTACCACCCACATAACTACTACTTCAATCAAATAAAATAAAATAACATGTAGCACCTTTGTATGAACAATAGTAATTGGCTTCTGTAGATCCTTCCACCAGCCTGGTCCTTTTCTCTCCACAATTCCACATTCTGTTCATTTTTTAAAGCAAAACCCTGCTACTTTTAACCTAATTGGATTTATCTCATTAAGATATAATCCTTTCTTGGCTTGAAATCACAGATAATTTTTCTGAGTATTGCATTTCCACTTTGTCTTTTACGTTGCAACATTGGGTTGCACTTCTGGCAGATTTGATCACCTTGAATGCACTTACATGTTGCCATGTATATTTGCACATTTAGCACATCATCTCTGGAGATCAGAGATTGCCCTTAGGAACCTTTATGTCCAAAAAAGTAAATGCAGTATCTGACATTTTTTTTTATACGCACAATGAGAAATTGATGAATTTAATTGATTCTCATTTGTATCCCCAATAGCCTATGGTCAAGAGAAAATGGAAAATAAATCACTACTCACATATTATTGCATACTTCTATGTTGTTGGGACTGTTTTACACATTTTGCAAACATTTACATTGTCATTTACTTCTTTTAATAGTTATGGAACTCAGGCCAAGAGAGGTGTCAATGTCAATAGCCAAAATGAGGTTTGAATTTAGCACTGTCTTCACAGTGTATGTTATTTGCCCTAATGGTCAGTTATAGTAGAGCTGAAATAGTGAACAACAGAATGGATGAATAAATTGAAGAGACCTCAGTCTCTTTCTTGCACTTTCTAGGGTTATTCAAAAAATGACTCATGGATCTTTGCCCTGGCCGTGCTTCTGAGCAGCATGTTAGTCTACAACAGCATGGGCACGATCAACCATCAGGCCCTGGAGCAGCTGCAGTATCCTTCCAGAAACCCAACCAAAATGTGAATGGAGTCTATGGGAATATAACTGAGACTATTTTGTGGTTTTTGTGGTTTTATCCAGTCGATAATCATGGTTGAGGAGAAAGAGACACTGGGTGAATGGGAATGTTATTAAAAATGATTTCTGGGTGAGATGTGGAAATTTTATCATGGAGCATTTCTCATTCCTTAGATAAGATCCCAGCTATGTGACTGAACTAACAAAGCTTATCAGGACAAAGTCCTCTCCCAGCTCTGGTGAAGTAGGTGATTCAGCCATATTTAATTGATTCTCATTTGTATCCCCAATAGCCTATGGTCAAGAGAAAATGGAAAATAAATCACTACTCACATATTATTGCATACTTCTATGTTGTTGGGACTGTTTTACACATTTTGCAAACATTTACATTGTCATTTACTTCTTTTAATAGTTATGGAACTCAGGCCAAGAGAGGTGTCAATGTCAATAGCCAAAATGAGGTTTGAATTTAGCACTGTCTTCACAGTGTATGTTATTTGCCCTAATGGTCAGTTATAGTAGAGCTGAAATAGTGAACAACAGAATGGATGAATAAATTGAAGAGACCTCAGTCTCTTTCTTGCACTTTCTAGGGTTATTCAAAAAATGACTCATGGATCTTTGCCCTGGCCGTGCTTCTGAGCAGCATGTTAGTCTACAACAGCATGGGCACGATCAACCATCAGGCCCTGGAGCAGCTGCAGTATCCTTCCAGAAACCCAACCAAAATGTGAATGGAGTCTATGGGAATATAACTGAGACTATTTTGTGGTTTTTGTGGTTTTATCCAGTCGATAATCATGGTTGAGGAGAAAGAGACACTGGGTGAATGGGAATGTTATTAAAAATGATTTCTGGGTGAGATGTGGAAATTTTATCATGGAGCATTTCTCATTCCTTAGATAAGATCCCAGCTATGTGACTGAACTAACAAAGCTTATCAGGACAAAGTCCTCTCCCAGCTCTGGTGAAGTAGGTGATTCAGCCATGTTTTTGAGTTTCTTTCCAGACTTTGTTTGGGTTGTACGGAATTTCACACTGGACCTGAAGTTAGATGGATGCACCATCAGTAAAGATGAGTACCTGGAGAATGCCTTGAAGTTCCAGGTATCAGAGGATGGTCTGGGTGGTGGAGGATGAAACATTTGACTCTTACTTTATTACTCACATTATATTTCTTACCAGAGGGCTATAATATAAAGTTTTATATGTCAATCCCTGACCTCCAGTGATGATTTGCCAGGGTGTAAATATACATGGCAACATGTAAATGTATCCATGGTGATCAACTCTGCCAGGAGTGAAACCCAATGTAGAATGTGATCAAATATGCCCTGTCATTTAGCACTTAAGCCGTGCTTCGCAGCATGTTTGTCTACAACAGCATGGGCACCATCAACCACCAGGCCCTGGAGCAGCTGCAGTATCCTTCCAGGAACCCAACCTCCATGTGTCATGGAGGCTATGGGAATATAACTGAGACTATTTTGTGGTTTTTGTGGTTTTATCCAGTCGATAATCATGGTTGAGGAGAAAGAGACACTGGGTGAATGGGAATGTTATTAAAAATGATTTCTGGGTGAGATGTGGAAATTTTATCATGGAGCATTTCTCATTCCTTAGATAAGATCCCAGCTATGTGACTGAACTAACAAAGCTTATCAGGACAAAGTCCTCTCCCAGCTCTGGTGAAGTAGGTGATTCAGCCATGTTTTTGAGTTTCTTTCCAGACTTTGTTTGGGTTGTACGGAATTTCACACTGGACCTGAAGTTAGATGGATGCACCATCAGTAAAGATGAGTACCTGGAGAATGCCTTGAAGTTCCAGGTATCAGAGGATGGTCTGGGTGGTGGAGGATGAAACATTTGACTCTTACTTTATTACTCACATTATATTTCTTACCAGAGGGCTATAATATAAAGTTTTATATGTCAATCCCTGACCTCCAGTGATGATTTGCCAGGGTGTAAATATACATGGCAACATGTAAATGTATCCATGGTGATCAACTCTGCCAGGAGTGAAACCCAATGTAGAATGTGATCAAATATGCCCTGTCATTTAGCACTTAAGGTCAATTTTTATTTTTTATTACGTTGAAGCCCGTGCCAATGGTGATATGAGTATGACTGGTAGGTATAAATTCAATTGTTATTAAGACTAAAGAAACTCAAGTGACCAGAATTTAAGCTGGCTGAGGAAATGGAATATCCAATATTGTACCAAAGATTTTAGGAAAATTGACACCATGAAAAAAATTGGAGGATAACAACCAGTACTAAGACATTTTAGGGGTCAAATATTTCATTCTGATTAAGTTTAGCACTCCTCTGCTTATATTTGGAGAAAATGCCCAACTTTATGGACAATGGGTAACACAGAATCACAATGATATCAAATGACTCATTTTTTAAAACATATTTCATCTTGTGTATCTTAATAGCCCTCAAATTAACATATTCTTCCAGTAAGACTGTCAAATCATTCATTATTGCTCTCTTATAACATCACTCTCCTCATTCTATAGCCTATCATCATGTTAATAGAATAAATTATTTACACAGAATAGATTTAGCAGAGAGAAAAATGGATGGCACCTGGAAGCATGTCCATTTTTGGTTATATAATACTTTATATATTTATTCAAGAATCATTTATTGAGCAGCTGATATATGCCCAGAATTACCCAGTGTGACATTGTCACGTTCGATATAATCTGATATAGAGAACAGGTGTGGTCTTTATGTGGCATTAGGTTAAACTTCTATATTTCTATGGTCTGTATTGTTACTTTGATTTTTAGAAGTTATTCTTTACTGGTCTGAGTATTGTCTGTTCTAGCAATATCATAAATTGCCATATATCTACCAAGAAATATTTGACTTTTACTTTAGAACCCCCATTACATTTCTGACAGGAGGACTATAATATCAAATGTATTTCTGACAATTTTGGGGATTAATCTATCATTCAAAAATATCTAATTAATAGTCAAGCCGTTGGAAACTGTGGAAGAGCTAAAGAAAGCAATAATAAGTTTCTTCAGATGGGATGAATGCCTCCTCTTCTTCCTCAGCAGTACTTCTTTTATTCCTGGCTTTGCACAAAAATAAATAAATAAATAAATCTTTTTTTTTAGGAGATTTGCATTACGTTCATATTCATGATTAAATAGGAGGATATATGCAAGCATCAGAGTTATAATAACAGAAATACCCTTGAAAATGAACATACTTTCCTGAAGACTGTCTCACCAATCACTGCTCTTTTTTACTTTTCTTCTACAGGCAAGGATCCCAAAATCCAGCAATCCAACATTGTGGAGAGCGACAACAGCGTTTGGACAGGTTCAAGCCTCAGACTGACGAGACACTTTTTATTTCTTCTTTTTACACCAGTCCCTTTAGCATTTCTTGCATTGCTGGCTTGGTGGTTAGAAGTTATTCTTTACTGGTCTGAGTATTGTCTGTTCTAGCAATATCATAAATTGCCATATATCTACCAAGAAATATTTGACTTTTACTTTAGAACCCCCATTACATTTCTGACAGGAGGACTATAATATCAAATGTATTTCTGACAATTTTGGGGATTAATCTATCATTCAAAAATATCTAATTAATAGTCAAGCCGTTGGAAACTGTGGAAGAGCTAAAGAAAGCAATAATAAGTTTCTTCAGATGGGATGAATGCCTCCTCTTCTTCCTCAGCAGTACTTCTTTTATTCCTGGCTTTGCACAAAAATAAATAAATAAATAAATCTTTTTTTTTAGGAGATTTGCATTACGTTCATATTCATGATTAAATAGGAGGATATATGCAAGCATCAGAGTTATAATAACAGAAATACCCTTGAAAATGAACATACTTTCCTGAAGACTGTCTCACCAATCACTGCTCTTTTTTACTTTTCTTCTACAGGCAAGGATCCCAAAATCCAGCAATCCAACATTGTGGAGAGCGACAACAGCCTTTGGACAGGTTCAAGCCTCAGACTGACGAGACAACAAGGTCCTCTTGTGGCAAAGCCACATACAAGTCCCAGCTTGGAGGGAAAAGCCCTCCCAGCACAATTATAGCCAAAGGCTATGGTTTTCATAAGCTTGACCTTATAGTCTGACCCTGGAGTCCTAGGTAGCTGAGGGATGTGGGCTTCGGGGGAATGAAGCAAGTGCTGCCAAAACAAAGCTTGATAGAGTTCAGAGAATTGCAACAACAGAAAAGAAGCATATTTGAAAATCGCAAGAACATTGTAAACATCTTGACCACTCCCTTGTTTTGCTTTGTGTGATCTGAATATAAAATAAAGATTTGGCATACAGGCTGTGTCACTGTTTCCTCATCCAGGTGCAGTGATCCACCTGGCCCCAACTATATGCTCATGTCTGTTTCTTTTAATCCTTCACTGGCCCCTCCTCAGGTACACCATTGGCCATGCTGGATGCAGGTCACAACATGACTAGAAAGTACTATATCAGGAAGTTCTTCCCCAAGTGAAAGGGCTTTGTTTTTGATAGGCCTACACATAAAAAGAACTTGTTACAACATATGGAATGCCTGTCAGAAAACAACTGGAGTACAGTTTCCAGGAGCAATCCAAAAATTTCTGTAACTATACCTTCACAGATGCAAAAACAAAGACCCTCTAAGCGGGAATCATTGTCACTGGAAATCATGAGTCTCCTTTGTTACAGCACGTTTTTCTGCAGTTCATTGTGTGTGATTGTACTCAGGGTTTGTCAGTAGTTCTGTTTCCTGCTGTATGGGATGTGGATATGCAGATTCATGCCACACATAGACATGCATGTTTTTTCATTAAAGTTTCCCTATATGAAGGTTTATTTAAATCTACTGTATCTCATGAAACTAATACACTAATGACATATGCACAAGCTACTGTTAAGGATAGGAATCTGCATGATAATGACAAGACAAAATAGAAAAAAATACATAGCACAACATAAGCCACTGAAAGTTTATTAGAGCTTGAGAAGAAAATTTAACTCTAGTCTTCTGTACAGGGCTAGATTCATGGATCTATAAAACTTCAGCAGACATACAGTGTCCTGGGATGAGATGGGCCCATGACTGATTTAATATTTGAGTCACCATCCTGAAATATTTGATGACTGTTTTATATGAGCCCAAATTTTCATTGCAAAAATTTGCCCACAAATTATCTACTTTACCTACCTGTGAAATAAACTCTTTTAAAATGTATTTCAATTGGGAAAGGTTCCAGGAAACTTTTGAATACATTGGTTGAAATCATTAAGTTTACATTATCATGACATGAATTTGAGAACCATAAAAGAGAGAATGTATAGGAGATATGATGATGTTATTACAAGGAAGGGGGTTTATAATATATAAAGGAGGAGGAGACAAGGATGAGGACAAGGAGGAAGGTGGGGAGGAAAGGAAGAGAGAGAAGACAGAAATCTTCATTTCAACAAAGTTTTGTTCTTTTTAGAATGATGATCTCTAAAGCTTGTGAAACAGTGAGTAAAAACTTCTTGTCCATTTTCTGAATATCTTGTGTCATTCAGGTCTGGGGACTCTGGCAAAGACAGATGTGGATACCATCAACAGTGGAGTAGTGCCTTATTTGGAAAATGCAGTGATAACTCTGGCTCAGCGTGAGAACTCAGTGGCTGTGGAGAAGGCAGCCGACCACTACAGTGAGCAGATGGCCCAGAGAGTGAGCTTCCCCACACACATGCTGCAGGAGCTGCTGGACCTGCACGCAGCCTGTGAAAAAGAAACCATTGCAATCTTCATGGAGCGCTCCTTCAAGGATGACAACCAGGTGTTCCAGACGAAGCTTATGGTAAATATGTCTTAGCATAGATCCTTCCTAATCTCTGTTCCTCTAGATTAATGCCTACACATCCCCTTTTGACCCATAGTTCATGTGTTTCCCATTGTAAAAGAAGTTTGGATTCATGTGAGTGACTGGGATCTATAGTCTATTACTAATCCTTTTTCTGAATGATTGGTTCTTTATTTCCATTATGGCAAAGCAAATTAACATGTACTTATTAGGAGTTTGCAAAAACACATAATTTTTTAGTTCACTATTCTTCAGGTGAGTTCCTAGCACAAGATGTATGGTGCTCTGCTGTGTTTACCAAGAGCTGAAAACAAGACTCAGATGTTGTACACCTGAAATTAATATAATGTCATTAGGAAGCTCATGGGAACTCCTCCCCATCTTCAAGGCAGCAATGGTGCATTGTATCCTTGTCTTTTTTTCTTTTTTTTAAAAAAATATCTTTGACTACCTCTCTGCTACCAACTGGAGTAAACTGCTTTTAAAGTCTTCCTGTGTTTAGGAATGCCCATTGGAGTAATCTTTACTTCCTAAAGTTAGCCAGTGCCAGATAAAAATATAATCACAAGATTAATATTTAGCATATTCACAGACCTGGAGACTATCCTGTGTGGACACCAGGGGAGAGAACTCTGGGGAACTACATAATTCTGCCCAATATAAACACCTTCAACTTGTTTTTGTGTCTGTCATTGACCATCTTACCAAGTTACAAAACTCTCACTTCATACAGAAGAAAAGCAATATGATTATAATTTTTCAGGTGCTGGAGGCTAAGACCAGAAGGTCATAATAAATGTGAAAAGTCCTCAAAAGGCTGATGGACTTCATGATATTCAGCAGGCTGAAAATCTGCATATTATTACCTTCTGCTGGCTAAACAGCCAAAGACAATTCCCCTAACCTGATAATCTTTTACTGTTTACCAAACCTTACCTTTGATATGTGTGTTTGCTTTGCTAAAGGGCAAAATGTGTAAATAAAAAGCTATGGGTCTGGAGTTTCAGGGAGCCACTCCACTAGAGAAGGGTTTCCGCGTGGTTCCCCATGCCTTCCAAATTTATATTTCTTATCTAGTTTATTCATTTATGTCGCAACCCCTTTTACAGATTCCTGAATCCTTGCTGGAACAGGTTGTTGCATTCAGGTATAACAAAAAATTTCCTTCCCTATATTTTTGCACAATCAAGTCCTTATTAAAATAATTTATGGGACTTCAAAACTCTGTTCATTGAACACTTAACTCATTAGTGGACAATTGGTTTACTGTGTATATCTTTTTATCCATAGCAATCCAAATTTGCAGAGGAAAGTCTACTTCCAGTTATATTGAATTTTCCATTGTTCATTGTTGATGGATGGACTACTCTTAATCTTAGGACCGATAAAGGAACCTTGATGATACTAGATTTCATATGTGGTTTTTGCTAGGGAATTGAATGTAAAAGTTCTCATCAAAGAAAAAACAATGTTTATACCTGTGTAAGGTGGCAGACAATAATTAGACAATGTGGTGATCATTTTGCAATGTATATAGATATCAAACAATTACATTGTACACCTGAAACTTATATAATGTGATATCTCAATTATATCTCAATTAAAAAAACACACACATGGATTTTATGTCTACCAACACCATCACTCACAAGTGTTGAGCCTGAACAGAAGAGAATTGAGCACCTCTACACAGGTCACACAACAAATTGATCTAAACAGGGACTAAAATGAGCTTCTTGATCCTGGTCTATAGTTCTATGCTCCAGTCCAACTTGATGCCATCAAACTGCTTTTCCCAAGAGGATCAGAGTACCCTCTCCAATCTGGGACCCCTTGCTCCCAACCGCTTGCCTGCCTGGTTGTCCCTAACTGCTTCTGCCTGCCTGCTTGATCAACCCAATCACTTCCCTGCCAGCCAGATCGACACCTAACTGCTCCCCTGTCGGCCCGATTGCCCCCAACTGCCCTCCCCTGCTGGCCTGGTTGCCCCCAACTGCCCTCCTGTGCTGGCCTGATTACCCACAACTTCCCTCCCCTGCCGGCCATCTTGTGGCCACATGTGGGTGGCCATCTTGTGTGAGGGCATGACGGTCAATTTGCATATCACATCTTTATTATGTAGGATGACTTCCCCAGCAAGAAGAGTCTTTTTCCCCAGCAAGAAGAGTCTTTGTTCCTTGTTTCCTCAGGCAATGGAGGTCTTCCAGAACTTCAAGCAGTCACAGGCTGCAACAAAGGAATTCATTCTACAGGCTGACAAGGCCAGCCATGGGCAAACTACGGCCCGCGGGCCGGATCCGGCCTGTTTGGCTGTTCTATATTGAAATTAAAAAAAGACCGTACCCTTCTATGTAATGATGTTTAGTTTGAATTTATATTAGTTCACACAAACACTCCATCCATGCTTTTGTTCCGGCCCTCCGGTCCAGTTTAAGAACTCATTGTGGCCCTCGAGTCAAAAAGTTTGCCCACCCCTGGACAAGGCCCTCACTGCTGGGGAGAAGGCTCTAGCACAGTGATGGCGAACCTATGACACGCGTGTCAGAGGTGACACGCGAACTCATTTTTTTGGTTGATTTTTCTTTGTTAAATGGCATTTAAATATATAAAATAAATATCAAAAATATAAATTTTTGTTTTACTATGGTTGCAAATATCAAAAAATTTCTATATGTGACACAGCACCAGAGTTAAGTTAGGGTTTTTCAAAATGCTGACACACTGAGCTCAAAAGGTTCACCATCACTGCTCTAGGAGGAACAGGTCAGGGCTGTGAACATGGAAAGCAGGGAGGTCCCTGCAGTTCCCCTAAATGTGTGAGAACGAGTCCTTAAAACAAGGTGTTTCTACTAAAGGATTAAAACAACTTGGCTAAATCAAAAAGTAACCAGGTGAATTTCAATTACTCCCTCAGGTAACAAGTGCCTTTCCATCTCATTCTGAAACCTGCTTTGCTCCTATTGTTGGTAAGAATATTGAGAGATTCCTCTCGGCCATTTAAAAATCATTTTAGTCTCTTTTATTTGAAGGGTGAAGCTAGGTATAATTTTTATTTTCTTATCTCTGTAAAACCATTGTGGAACAGCTGAAAAAGCCAAGACAGAGGCAGTGGAAAGAAAAGAGGAGCTGCTAAGACAAACACTGAATGAAAAGCAGCAAAAAATGGAGGCTCAAGAGAGAAGTTTCGAGGAAATCATAGCCCAGATGGAGGAAAAGATGAAGAGAGAAAAAGAAATCCAAGAGGGATAGCAAGATAGAATACTGAAGCACATTGAGAAGGTAAATATGAGTGGGGTGTGGGCAAAGCCTAAAGGACAGTCACCTAGTTCCTCATGAAGGCAAGACCAAAAACTAAAGTCATTAACCCTGAACAAAATCCAAAGGTATATGATTCAGTGAAATGTCATTCAAAAGCCCTGTGTCTTTAAACCTCAGCACCTTCTGTGGTATTAGAATTAGCAGGGTTCAAATAACATGACCCAGACTCATGAACTGCTGTTCGTGGTGATTATAGGGTCCTATTGTGTCCACAAGTGAAAAGGACTTCAGTTCTTAGGATGTTTGGTACACCCATCAAGGAGTATCAGATTATATGTGATGTGAAATATGGGATAATGAAAGATCAAAAATGTGCTACATTGGTTTCCACATCTGTCCACTTCATTCTATACAACCAGAGTAAATGTATTTTTTGGCCTTACCTGGAGTTTGATAGCTCATGTTCGCTAGAGTAAGCAGTTCCCATTATCTGTAACGGCTGTGGTCTTCATACTTCACTGAAATCAAGAAATAGTTAGAAGTAAACCTCCATTCTTCCCAAGAAACATGCTTAGGAATGAAACACATTCCTGGCATAAGTTGTCAGGCCAGAGCAAGTCCCAACTCCTCCCCATCCCTAGTGAGATCCTGCTAAAGGACCTTAGGAAGGTATAAACCAAGGATTCTCCTGCTACCAGATCTAGAGGTTTGGAGATATTGGACAAAAGCATAAAAGAGCTATTTTAATTGTTTGTTATATGGGTCATAAAATTAAATTGAATTAATGCATGTATTGTTGGGTTTTGGTTAAACCCATAGTCTTTATTTCTTAATTGTAACTTCCTCTGCATATTAGGAAGAAGAGATATAGAAGAAATAAAAAGAGAAGGAGATAGAGGAAGAGATGAAAGAAGATATTGAAGGTGAGAACAGCTAATAACACTCCAGATATAAAAATAATTAAATTGTACTTAAATTAAGAACTCTGCTTTTTTGAAAAAGCACATTCTTTTTGTATAATGGAGACAAGTCAAAGATTGGAAGTAACTATTTGCAAATCACACATCGAATAAAGGACTTGTATTTAGAATAATTAAAGAATCTTAAAACTCAACAAATATTTTACTAATTGGAAAAGCAAATATCCCAATTAAAAGCAAAAAATGATATAATTTAAACAGACACTTCATAAAAAATATATTTGGGTGGCAATAAGCACAGTGAACAGCATCATTAGTTATTAACAACATCATTACTTATTAGAAAAGTGGAAATTCAAGCCACATTGAGATATCACTGTGCACCTACTAGCATGGCTAAAGTTAAAAAGAGGAGACATCTCAAGTGTTGGTGGAGATGTAGAGTAACTGGAACCCTTATCCACTTCTGGTGGGAATGAAAAATGGTAAATCACTGGGAAAAAGTTTTTCAGGTTTTTTTTAAGGTAAACAAATATCTACCATGCAGAGTAATAATTTTGCTTCTACATCTATCCCCAAGAAAATGAAAGTTGGTGTGCATATGATAGCTTTATTGGTAATAGCCAATAACTGAAAACAATGTCCATCCACAGGTGAATGATGAACAAATTTTAACATACCCATACAAGCAAATACTACTGAACGATAAAAAGGAATAAACTATCAATACATACAAGAATATTATGAATCTGAAAATAAATATGTTGAGTGAAAGAAGGCAGACAAAAATGTCTACATTCTGTGTGATTCCTTTTATGT